CTTGGGTTTTGCTTTATTCTCTATTCTTTTTTGGGGGTAAGAAGTTATTTTTAATCTCTAAGAGGTCATCATAGGGAGTTGAAATGGGAGTACCCCGAGAAACAGAACTTATGGAATGTGTGTGAATGTGTGTATAAACTCATTTACATAAAAGGAGATCTTATATAATCTTATAAAAATAAATATGTATACCATATTTGTATATGTATATACGCACACATACATGTGGGGTGGTGAGAATGAGGGTAAAAGCAAGAAAGAGGGAAACAGAGAGAGACAGAGAGAGAGGAGAGATTTAATATAAGGAATAGTTCTCACAATTTTGCAGTTACTGCTTCCAAAATTAGTAGGGCAAGGAGACCCAGGAGTGCTGATATTCCAGTTGGAGTCCAAAGACTGTGTGGTTTTGAGCCATAAAAAACCTATGTTACAGATGAAGTCGGAAGGCAATCTGGAGAATTCTCTTTCTTGAGACAGAGGCTTGAGGAGACTGTTTTTGTTTGTTCTATTCAGCTATTTAACTGTTTGGAGGAGGCCCATTCACATTATGGGAGGTAATCTACTTTACTCAAAGTCTACATATTTAAATGTAAACTGTATCCCAAAACATCCTCACAGAAACCCCAAGAATATGTTTGACCAAATATATTGGTACTCAAGAGCCCAGCTAAGTTGACACATGAAATTAAGCATCAAGAAGTGTTTATAGCAGTTTGAATTGGAATTTGTGGGATGTTGGGAGCTCCTGGAAGAAAGAGATGAGGCAGATTGGTTCAGTAGACATGGGGGGACGGGGGGCAGGAAGCTGACTGTGGTATTTGTGTGGCCTTCATCTCTCTGGGAGGAACTGGGAGTGGAAAGTACAAAGTACCAAAGGCAGACTTAACTCAAATTCAATCCCAGCTGATTGTCAATACAACAATGAGATCATTTAATAGCAGCTAAAAAATGAGATCATTTCTTTGTGTACTTGTTTATTGTCTGTCTCTCCCACTGTGCATATTCAATTTTGTTTGCATGAATATCACAATTTTCTAGTGACTGGCATGCAGTGTTATTCAATAACTTTCTGTTATTGTTGAAGGACAGGAGCTGCGATAGGAAGCAAGGGCTTCTTAATGCTGGCAGTTTGCAGTGTCTGGCTTAGAATTGTGGTTTAGAGAGGACTATCCAGGTGGGAATGGTGAGACTAGACAAGGGAGCCAGTCCTGGGAGAAAGGGTGAGGCTGAGAGGGGAGAAGAGGTGCTCAGACTCCAGTTGACCAACAAGGCTTCGTGGCAAGAGTAGAAGCAAAACAAACAAATAAACAAACAAAAAAAACAGGCCAGAAGGAATTGGCTGCATGCAGTGAAGGTTAACTGGGAAAAACTGTAACAAGATAATCAGACTGAGTACAGCTGATTCCTCAACAGGACCCTGGACCTAAAGAGCAGTGTATGACCTGACTCCCATCTTTAGTGTCCAATATGCTTTTAGGAATTTTGGCATCCACCCGGATTGCCCTGTCAATGACTACCGGTGCTGCAACTTAGACAAGGCGCACGGTGAAAGAGACTTTGGGGATGAGTGTCTTGAGTTTCACCACTTTATCTTATCCATCATTTCTATATGAGTACATGCTTATCTATACTCAGATTACAGACGTAATTTTACTCCATGGCCTGCTATGAGCCTGGTATGGAACTCTGCATGGGGAGCATGCTACATGAATAATTTTGAATAGATTGTGCAAATGACTGGAAATGTTGTTTGAATCCCTTTGGGTGGTTCTGTGAGAAACATCTTTAGAGAGAGATTTTTAAGGCTCAATCCCCTTTTCCCCTTTTGGGTAGTGCTTGAAGGTGATCTTTGGAGGCATTTGCTTCCTAGGGGCCATTCATGTTGATCTTTGGAAATTGATCAGTTAGCTATAACAAATAACTGAGAGCCACCGTTGATGGTGTTATAGAGGGTTGAAGGTCAACAGAAGTCTCAGTGCTGAGGATAAGGTTAAGGAGACCTTATCCTTAATTCTAAGTCAGTGCTCACTCTTCCAGGGCTACTCGCCCCTTGCCTTCTTACTTTCTTTGATCCCTGAGGGTAGCATAAAAGAACAAGGGCCATGAGCTGAACATTTATAATGGCCCTGTGACAGTCTCTCTAGTCCTTCACTTTCTGCTTTCACTCCACGTCCTAGGAAATCATATTACCTCCATGATCACTAAAAAGCTCTTTTGTCACTGCCACCGCAGAAGCTGTCTTTATACCAGTGTTGCTCTTATTGAGTGACCATTAGTATTTATCTGTATTTATTTGTATTAGTAACGTGCCATGGGTATTTTAAAATTGTCCATGAAACTTTTATTTTTTTGAAATATTTTTGACTAACAGAGAATTGCAAATATAGTATAGTACAAATTACTGTCATATACCCTTCACATGGCTTTTCCAAATGTTAAATTTTGCAGAACCATAGTACAATTAGCAAAACTCAGAGTTAACATCCTATTAATTTATAATGCTATTGTTTTTAAATTAGGCTTCCCACAGGGTGGCTGAATTTTCAGATCTCTCAGCATATTCTGTCCATAAATTGAAGATGTCCCCTCAGGGTCCCTTCCGATATGTGGTCTTGTGCCCCTCCCATGAGCTGTGGCTCCAGAGAAAAGACCACATGCTCTAGCATGGTTGTGATACTTTGACTGAAAAAAAAAAAAAAAAACAACCGTAGCTCAGGCATTACAATTGTTTATTTGTTCCTCACCCAATTTTTGTAAGACATTAGATGTAGAAGAAAATAATAGCTCAGGGTTAAAAATAAACCTCGGTAGTTACTCCTGAATCATTTTAGGCACTTGAGAAATGACTCACTATGATAATGTAGGAAAAAAAAATAAGCTAGAATAATAAATTGGTACTTTTGTTTCACAGTCCCCAGAATTCTGTTGTTGCACGTCAGGTACTGTCAGCTGAATGGAGCCAGAGAGTCAAGACCAAGGGCAAAGATCATGTTTCTTTCTTATATTTATAAATGTGTATTGCGTGTTTTATGTGCCAGATGCTAATGCGATGCTAATGGTGCAATAGTGAGCAAAAGAGCAAAAGAGGCGTGGTTTGGGGTCCTTATGGAGCTCACTAGAGTAAGCAGCAAGAAAAAGCATTTGCCATGTGTACCTATCAAGCAGGTACTATTAGTCTATTAATCATCCTTTTTAAAAATTTCAGTACTGGGGATTGAACTCTGGGCCTTGTACTTGCTATGCAAGTGCTCTACCACTGAGTTATCTGTCCAGTGCTTTGGTCATCTCCTTTTATGAAAGGATACAGAGTAAATTGGTAAGGAATGAGAGCAGCAGCAGAATTGATATTTTTACTTTTTATTCTTGGTACCAGGTATTGAACCCAGGGACACTTAGCCATTGAGCCACATCCCTAGCCCTTTTAATTTAAAAAAAATTTTTATTTTTTTATTTTGAGACAGGGTTTTGCTAAGGGCCTCACCAAGTTGCTGAGGCTGGCTTTGAATCTGAGATCCTCCTGCTTCAGCCTCCAAAGTCGCTGGGTTTATAGTCCTCAGAATTGGGAGTTTTGAATTTGCAAGTTTGGCTCCAGGATTTGTGCTATCAACCCTTTTTTTGAACTGCCTCTGGTTCAAATTTGTTTTGAAAAAAAATGCACTATGAAACAAGAACATACAACTAACCTACTTAGGTTTTTTTTGATGTTGATATGTTGATTTCATTTATTAAGGCAATGTGTTAATCATTTAGTTGATTCAAAGAGGACATGTACTTGCAGGGAACAAGGAGTTGGAATCAAGGATTTCATGTTGAATTTGTTCTGTGTCTGCCTGTGTTACTCATTAGCACATCAGAGTCTGATTGATAAAGTATTGCAAATTTATGTATTCCACCTGGTCTTTTATTCACTCACCAAACTAATTGAACAACTGTTAGGTTACATCCGAGATTTGTATGTTGAAGATACAATGTTTAAAAAACAGTTTTGATTGCTGTCACCAGGCAGCATACATCTAATAGTCTCCAATTTACAGCTGGTTTACTTGGAGTTCAGAATTGACCATTCACAAGGCTGACGTGGGGATACTTTTTGGACCTCCAATTTAGGACTCTCCAATTAAGCTCTGACGATGCACTATACCACAGTCTAGTCCTCACAAAAAACTTTTACCCATATTCATCAGGTGAATTACTTATCTCTAAAGCTTATATCCACAATATGTAGTTTTGAGAATCACCTGAATGCTTTAAGAAAATGCTAAGTTGTGATTCTCTATTAACCAACTTCATTTTAAATTGATTATTATTGTTGTTATTACTATTTTGGTGCTGAGGATTGAACCCAGAAACCCACACATGATAAGCACTCATTGTATCTCTGGGTTAAACTACCTTAGATGAAAAAGTTAGGTTTCAGATAAAATGACCTCTTCATACTCTAGGGCTTAGATGGTATAAAATAGGAAAGTGGGTGTTTGTGGGTGAGTGCTGGGGAATAGGAGAGAAAGGAAAGATCCTTGTGAGCAAAGAAGAGTATGCACAAAGGTCTTGAATAAAGAACAAATGAGATATGTTTGGAGAATCAAAGTTCCTACGTGCTGAATCAGGGGAGAGTAAGCTGGAGAATGTTGCCATGAAGAGTCTTGTAAGTCTTGATCATGATTCGTAGACTTTATTATCTTGAGGACAATCAGCAGCTATCTAAGGCAAAGATTCTTAAACTTTCTTGGATCATAGCACCTTTAGGTCAAGAGATATATCTAAAAGCTCCTTTTACTTACTAGTAGTTAGATTCAAATAGCTTATGTGATCTAATAGCTTAGGATTTTTTAAAAAAATAATAATCTATACAAGTAGAGAGAAAACATATTTTAGTTTCATTGTTAAATAGTACAATAATTTATTAATTATACATGTTTGCCTATTGGGCACTACAGTTTCTCAAACCTTAGAATCAGGTTGGACACTTCCACCCTTGTTTCCTATCCCACAAGGATTACCTGTCATATTGGCTTTCTCGTTACAGCAATCACAGGAAACCCAGCTTCATAAATTTATGACATCACTGGAAACATGGTGTAATCCAATGTTGCTTTCCTTGAAAGTTAAAAACAGATCAAGAACTCTCGTGAGTTTGAAAGGAGACACAGGGCACCTTAGTATACATTTTGAAAACCGTGACTTTTAAGAGTTTTCAGTGGGAGATTCATATGAACAGACTGTGTTTTAAAGAAACCACTCTGGTCTTTGGGTTGAATAAAAGCAAAAATGGAACTAGGGGTGATGTCCAGAAGCTCTTGCTAGGACTCAGCAAGGTAAAATCATGGTGACATAGTCTTCCTAGGGTAGTGCTAATGAAGATGGCGGATAGGTGAAGTTCAGAAACATTTAAGAGGAAAGTCAATAAAACACAAGGTTTGGAGGTATAATAAAATGCAGGACAAATGCAGAATTTGGACACAGATGATTCATTTTGGATGTATTATTTTTGAAATATATATTGATAATGAGTTCTGTCTGACCCAGGTGTAAATATTCATTCTTTTGTTCCTTTATATTGCAAATAATTTTTCTAATCCTTTGTGGTGAAAATGATCTGTAACTCTTGTTTCCCCAGACCTCTGCCCCAGGATAAATTGAGATTCATGTGATACACAGAGAAGTCTCTGGGTTGTGTCTAGTTGTAGCAAGTTCAACACCCTGAAATGGAGGAATGGCCCCTTTTCTTCATGTCCTCCATTCCAGAGTCACAAACAACTCAGTTAAGATTGTGGAACTGGATAAAGAGTCTTAGGGGCTACATAGCTCTATCACCACTTGGCCTCATGAATCTCAGATGGGTACCTGAACATCAACCTCTGTTAGTATTGTCTTTTGCCTCCTTGTTGAGCTGGAGCTCTTGCTAAAATATCCTTCCCTCTGTTTGTGGGGATGCAGACGTCCATCTGTTCCATGGACAGTTGCCACTTTGTCTCTGAGTGCAGAAATTCTTTCAACCAGCAGTGGTCAACTTGGACTTTAATACCAGTTCTTTGGATCCCTGAGAGTTGCTTTTGGTCCTCTGGGTGATTGCTTCCTCCATCAGGTCTCCTAAGAAACAATGAGGTCATTACTGAGAACTCTGTGCTACGTCCTTGTAACAAAGAGAAATGCCACTTCAGAAATTCTGACCATGACCCAGGCCACTGGCAGGACCATGATCCATGAAATTGTCCTACTTCAAGGACAAGTGACTGCCTTCCTATGCATGAGGAAATGGATATCTTGCCTTGTTTGTGAAAATGTACTAGGTCTGAGGTATAATGTCCTAATTGTAAATCCCCAAGTCCTCTTCATGGCTGTATCCAGAAGGTCTGAGGGTCTGTCTCAGGTTTTCATGAGCCCCATGATAAGATGACAATGACATGTTGACTCGGTGAACATACAATCCCTTAATTCATTCACATACTCTTCCTGAAAATTTAAGGAAAGTATGAGTTCACTTTCCCTGCCTTAGAAGTGAGATCACCCAAGCCTATGTTAAATGCATTCCCCAGAATATCTATTTCTCTTCTTATTCAACTGGACCTGTACAATTAACGTGGGTATGTCATGTGAGGAAGTTGTGGGACAGACACTGTATTCAAAACCAGTGTAGGAACAACAGTCTAATTGTGTGTTGGGTTTTGCAAATGTCCACTTCTGGTCAGACACAGCCCTGTTGAGAGACTCTTGGCTTTGAAATCTAAGGAATCTGAAATGGTATTTTCGGAATGGAAGCAACCAACGGATCAGCATTTGTGAGGTGCTGGCAAGATGACTTCAAGCTGTAAAGCCGGGCCTTGACAGACGGATTTAGCACCATTAGCAGTGGCTTGTTGAAAAACAAAAATGACTTCAAAACTCTTCCCTCTCGCCCAGAATGTTACATTCATCCATTCGTTAAAACATCCGTTATTTGCTGACTTGTTTTCTGTTGCCCCCACCCCCCACCCCCCAGCCTCTCACTCTTTTGTGTCGGAGCTAATGTTCCCAGCGTCTACACTGTGTAGGCCCTGATTATTTGTGAGACAGAGTGAGTTAATGCAGATTTGCAAGCTGTTCCCATTTGTTAAATGTCAGAAAAACACATGCAAGTCACTGGCTTTAGCACTTAGCTGCCAGCTGGCTCTTCTGGAGGCAGGGGACAAATGACAGTCTATCACACAGCATGCTTTCAAAGAAAGAGGGGACCTATTCCAGAACCGCAGCATCAGAGCCGCTTTTAACAACATAAGCAAAATAAGAAGCCAACATCAGTTTTTTTTCCTCCCTTATTTCTCCCCCTGTTGTTGAATGAATGGCAGCACAACATTTGGGAGCTTTTTAAAGCCTTGGGAATATGGATTCCACTGCCCACCATCTGAGAGAGAGATGGGATAATGGGAGCTTGCCGGAGAGCTGCACATTCTCTGGCGAGCCGTGATGGAGACACCCTTCGAGCCTTGGGGGAGAGGGTGCACCCCTCCCCACCCCATCCTTCAGGTGGCTTTAGCTCCTACCTTCCCACTGCCAACCTCTCTGCAGGTATCTGGAATAAAGTTGAATTCCGCCCTCCCACCCCCATTTGCAGTTCTATCTGAGTCCTAGATTCTACTATTTAGAGCCTTTCACCCCACCTCCCTAAGATGATTTAAAAAATAATGAATAAGAAATCATGTAAATAATGTACAAAAATTTCCTTAATTCATTCACACATTCATCCAGCAGTTATTTACTGAATATCTAGAATATATTGGGTACTGTGGAGGCCAAAAAGAAATAGGACATATGGATTGTTTTCAAAGGCAAGATCTAAGAGGATTATTGGTGATTTTTTTTTAAAGGACTCAATCCTACCTGAAAGTACAAATAGGTGCAAATGGTGTCAGGAGGAGAGCAAAGGCCTGATTCTCTGATATGGGGGGAAAACTTCACAAAATGAGTGGATAGTGAGTGGACGAGGCTTAAAAGGACAGGAAAGATTTCAATAGCCAGAAAGAAACAAGATGGGCATGTGATGTGGGGTGATTCCATAGAAGGACCTGAATCTGTGGAGGTGGGAGAAGGTTCTAGCTATGAAGACCGGCCTATTTAGAGCAGAAAGTTAGTTACAACACAGTGGGAGAAAATGAAAAACTAAGTTGAAGTCAGGGTCAGGAAAGTGACCTTTTAATGGAGTTTGAACCAAAGCGTGCCATTTCAGAATGGTGTTTCAGATGATTTTTATACACTTAGCCATGTGCGATCCAATTCATTGCTCTGATATACCTAAGTGATTTATGCATAGGAGTAAATAAGGCATTCTGCATGCTAAGCCCGAAGAGAGCATATTACAGAGATCACAATTGCTTGGTTAGATTAGTACATTTTCCTTAGAGATTCAATGTGGTTCTTATTGCAAGCAGGGTTTTCTGCTAAATCCACCATCTCCTTCCTTCTAACAGAGATGCTTTTCTTGTGAAATTTTGTCAGCATTTTGTTAATTCCTCATCGCTGCTTCCAGATCATTACCCTTCCACTATTCTGGAAAATCCTCCTACAGGTTCAGGCAACTGTGGCTACCCTTTACTGCCTTCTCATTTAGGACTCTGGTGGTGGCCTCACTTTCTTTATCTCACTAAGGTCCTAGGCTACTTTAATATTCATGCAGAGATATTCAATATTCATGAACCTGGGCTAAGGGTGTCAAAAACTTGTCCTAGTCCTATGTCTTTACTTTTACTATCTCAGTGCATACATTTCTCATTGACTATGACATTTTCTTCCATTCAGCCTCCGTGGATGCTTAGGATCCTTGTCCACATAACATGTCATGAGGGCCAAACATATTTGACCTTCCTGTTCTAGCTTAAAACTTATAACAACATTTATTCTTTGTTATAGTCTCATAAATTCCCGATCACACCGTAGGTTTTTGGTTTCCTTTAAGTCAATCAAAATATTAAATGGTCTCTGTGGTCTCTGAACTTGGGATGGACTTCCGATTCTCTCCTTTCTCCAGGTTACAGCCCAGCCTGATTTTTGCCTCCTTATCTAGCTCCATGATCCTTATATCTGCAAAGGTAAGGCCAGTTGCAACCTTCACAAAGCTCTAATGGTCCAAAGATCACTTTATAATGTCTACAAAACCTTTACTCTCATAGCAGGTGACCTTGATTTTTACTCTCTGATAAATTTATATCTTCACCCCAGCTCCTTTCCTTTCCTGAGAAGCAAGATAATCCCTCCAGAGCCCCTCTAACCCATCCCCATGCCCCATCTTGCTCCTAAGATATTGTCCTTTTCTGTTTCTCTTCTCATTTTTAATTTCTCCTTCTTTATTTTTTCTTCTTTATGCTATAAATGTTTTCAAACCTCTCATTTCTTAAAAAAAAAAAAAAACCCATCAAAACAACCATGTGTACTCTGGAAACCATCTTCTTTCTCTCCTTTGTATGGGAGCCAAGCATCTCGACCTCACTTTCAGGCTCTAACTCACTATCTTCTGATTTTCATCCCTGCCTGTCACTTCAACATTCCTAGCAGAGCATGAAGGACCATCTAAGACTCAACCCTGCAGACTTTTCAAGCTTCAACTTATTTTATTTCTCAGAAATGTTTAACCTTATTGAATATGACAAGATTTCATCAATTTTCTTATAAAGCCCCACTGACGATTATGGGCTTGGACTGTGCAGGGTAATAGGAATGACTTGCAAAATATGCTTTGGTGTCAGGATAGGCTTTACAAAAACATTTTTAAAAACTACTGCTCAGGCTTGTCTGAGATGCTAATATATTGCTTCTTCCCAAGATGTTGGCATAACTGTCATAGCAGGTGCTTAGGAAGTCTTGGCTGAATAAATCAACGAGGTCAGCAGAGAATCTAAATAATAGATAAATTCTTTGGACTCTTGCCTTCATAATGTTCACTGTGGAGGTTTCCAGAGAGGATGAATACTGAATTTGGGGTGGTGGGAATGGAACCTGGTATTGGGAAAAAGGAAGAACATGTGATTCAGACTATAGTTTTGGCAACACAGCCAACTCTTGTTGAACTAGTGGAGTAGGACTTACTCCACTAGTTGGAGGGCATGTCTCATGTGACATTGCTTTTATCTCTCTTCCTTCTCAATCTTTGATGGTTCTTCTTCTTCTACTTGCTCTTTAAATGTTATAATAATGAACACGGTAACCTTGATGACAAACTTATTCTTTGCTGTGTTATTAGTCATCATAATATTAATCTATTGAAAAAATAGTGAGTGTTTACCACATACCTACCATTGACTTTGATTCTGTTATGTAAAAATGGAAAGCTAGCCCCTGTTTAAGTAAGTTCATGCACAGAAACATACATGCCACTGTGACACAGATAATTTGATGCCTAGAACTAGCAGGTACTCAATTTCTATTAACTAACCTAATAAAATCATGGAGTTATTGGAAATTGTAAAACTGGCTTCCATTCCTCATTCTAATTCCTACCCCTACTGCAGGACTGCAGGCCCATTTCTCTCTAGCTACGTGTATCTGTGCATAAGTATGGACTTCAAATTAATAGATGAAAATGGCATTTATATAAAGAGGTATTCTAGGCTTTTTCATGTAGTCAGACACAGTCAATCCTTTGCTCTTCCCTAGCCAGCATTGAGAAGGTGGTTCAAATGATTCCACCTTCTCAATATTCTCTCCAGCCCTGTGAATCAGGAGACTGAGGCAGGAGGATTGCAAGTTTGAGGTCAGCCAGCCTCAGCAATCTAGTGAGGGCCTAAGCAAATTAGTGAGAACCTGTCTCAAAAAAATAAAAAGGGCTGAGGATGTAACACAGTGGTTAAGTGCTCCTGATTCAATTCCTGGTAACAAAAAGAAGAAGAAGAAGAAGGGGAAGAGGAGGAGGAGGAGGAGGAGGAGGAGGAGGAGGAGGAGGAGGAGGAATTATTCCCTTCAGTTGTCCAAGATACAGAAAAAATTCCATATCCGAAAAGAATCTTGTATTAATGCATTCTGCAAGAAAAGAAGGTCAGAAGAAAACAGTATAAATGGCCTTGGTGATCTCAGTTTGCAGATATTCTCTCTCTGCTTTTATCTACTTCTA